AAATTTTTTTTGTTTTATATTTGGAAGCAATCTTTGATTAACTTTTGTTGGCATTTTGTACTTTGATTGGCAGCTGGATGTGGTGTTCCCATGACTACACAGTCTGAGACATTCTACTCTCCTGGCTACCCCAAAGGTTATCCGTACAATGCAAAATGTGTGTGGGAAATAGAAGTTCCCAGTGGATATGTGATAAGCTTGCAGTTAAGGTAGGTAAAGTACATGAGTCATAAGCCACATGTATTTTTGGCAGCGAGAGCCAGCAAATTCTAAATAAATAAGTTTGGTCCCAGTGCTATTCAATGAACGTAACATACCAACCTCACTTCCAATAATGTCCAATATTATTAATAATTATTTCTCCCTACATTATCAAATAGGGAAGTTGTAATGAGAAGAATGGGAAACATCTTTAAGGCAGCACTGCTTGGTTTAGCACCATTTTCTTGGTGCTATGGTTTGAAATTTTGTGTGGCAGAGTGTAGTGGAGAAGTTCAATGTGGGAGGAGTGGGATACAAATGTAGTTCAGAAGCTTAAATGAGTATTTCAACTTGGAAGCACCTGATTTCAAATCTATTGCTCTTATTTTTTTAGTCACATAGCCTCCCTACTACAACCAACCAATTAAATAATCTTATTGATTGTACTTGACCATTAGGAAATTTTCTTTGGAAGTGTCTTACACCAAGTGGCCAAATTGCCCAGATTATGTTATTGTCCGTGATGGCATCAACAGCTGGTGTGACAAACTAAAAGCACTTTGTGGAGGGGCAGAAGACTGGAATGAGGAAATTGTTTCTACTGGAAATGGTATGAGGGTGGAGTTTGAATCCAGCAAGAATGGCTCAGCTTCAGGCTTTATGGCAACATACAAAGCAACTCCAGTTGATGAAGGTAACCAAATCATTTTAAAGTCATCCACCTAGTTCAATTTTGACTTAAAATATGATTATTACTAGTATGATGAGTAAGAGCCAGAGGCAGATATAAACCTGGAACAGAATTTAGTATATGAAAACCAGCCCATCATTTTTACTTCTTCAAAATTTATAATCAATTCAAAACAAAATGGCAGGAGTCACAAAACACCCAAAACAAAATGTATGTACAGACATCAACACAATCAATGAATTTGGTGTCATATGTGGGTTTCTTCAATGACGTTGTGCTATTTTTCTGTGTTAGACAAAAAAAGGTTTTATGTCTCCAGCAATTGGCATACAGAAAGATGTCATCTGAGATGTCTCCTAAATTTTATTTCCTCCAGAAATAAATCGCAATTTTTCAAAACGTAAACAGGCCCTGAGGTAACATTAGGAGGTTAGACGTGACTTTGAAATGATAGAGACTCAGAACTTTAAGTACACGAAGGATTTCAACTTAGTCCATTGAAAAGGGTGTTCTTTCTTCGAAACTTGAAAATGCACTGTTCGTTTGACCATTTTGTGCCTTTTATTGATGCAATGTGATATGGTTATCGTCAAACTAACTTTCTATTGTTTTGTAGTTTTAAAGGAAGAAGATGAGGAAATGATTGACTTTAGTCGTCACTACACTGGAATTGTGATAGGCGTGGCATGTGCTGCAATCTTTGCAATCCTATCAATCATTACATTTAGCCACACCAAGAGGAGATTACAGGAGCGTCGCCATGGCAGCCTGACACAGAGTGGTGGTAGACAGATCTCTTATTCTGATAATGACATCTTTCAACAAAATGCTCCACCCACTTATGACGATGGTAAGAATTTGGCCATTGTCCTTTCTAAGGCTAACATTTATGAACTAAAGAAAACTTATAAGAGAAAACTTATAGTAAACTTTGCATCTCTCAGCAACAAGATGGTAGGCAATCAATACACAAAATTCCAATTGTATCTGATTTCATGCGTGCAGCCATTGACCCAGGGCAGGGTTTAATGTCTTTATTAGATTTTTTCTGCTCCCCATTTTCACCCCTTAGGCTTGGAAGGTTCTGTTTCAGTTTTACTCTCCACGAGACGAGCCGAAATGAAGCATTTCTTTAGATGAAAGCAGCCTTTCAGGCTACAATGCTCTGCTTCTTAAATTTCGCCCGATGGAAACAGGGCTAGGAGGCCCGTTATCCTAATCAAATAAAGAGGTCCTAATTCGAGTTTATTCTCTTTAGTTATGCGCTACCCAGAGCTGTACCCACCGACACCATGTCAAGGATCATTAGCCAATACTCCGGCAGCGACCCCAAGAAGGGGGTCTCCTGTCTCAACCCCTACGACACCACGCCGCTCTCTCGACAGACAGAGATCACCAATGGTTATTCCGAAAATTGGAACACCCGTGGGAATGCCACTTTTTAACCCACGGCCGAGACCATCGAGTTCACTACAAAGTACCCTGAGTGTTTCTATACAGCGGGGTATTTCCCCTTTGGCCCGGGCTGAATTAACTCCGCAGCAGTCCCGTCAAGCAGATCATCTGTCTTCCGATGAACACGATGATGATGATGACGATGACGAGCTGCCGCCATACCCGGGTATTACGGGGCAACCTACAAGGGGAGATTACACTGCTCTCAGCATGGACGTTGATTCTGTTTTGGATCAAGTTAGAGAGACGTTGGAACAAAGAAGGTTCACTCTGCGACGTGGATCAAACCCTTCCTTAAGTGACAATAACTCAGTGCATTCTCGCGTCAGTGGAACAGTAAATGCTCAAAGTGGTTCGCTACCTTTTTCTGGTGTTGTGAACAATTCAGGACCGCTCCAGGAAAGAACTGAACCGAACAAAACTCCAAATACATCATTATCAAGTGTTGATGGTAACGGTTATATTAATCCATGGATATCTTCTAAAAATCCACGCGGGAACAGATATGGAGGTATCTTAAGATCTATTGAATCAGATGTATGAGGTTTAAGTATCGGGCGATGCCTCACAAAGGATGGCTTTACAAGTGGAGGCCCTCGGATTTCAAGGCCCATGTGAGGGGCATTATACTATTAACATATACGTTTTAGATTTTCTTACAGAGCTAAACGATCGAATCTTAAATAATCCGTTAGTGTTGCCTGTTTTGAGGGACTATATTTATAACCTTGCGGTTCAGATAGTCACAGAATTTGTTGTCTGACTTGACCTCGACAGTATGGTTAGGGAGGACACATGACTCCCTTAAATTGTCCACATAGGGATACCCTGCTAGGAAGGGGGTCTGTTTTAGAGTTACAGCGTAGTGTATTTAAAAGGAAGGGGAGGGAATCTCATGAGTCGACGTGTAGAGGACGATAACGTTTTCTACGTTCGGCCTGTGTACATTTTAGGCGGGTTACTTGAAAGAAATGGTATTTTGAATTGCTCTATTAATGGTCAAAACAGTTCTTTTGTATTTCCTCCCTCAGTATACACGTAACCCACTAGTCTCCGATGCCCTCCAAAATCTTCCGTTTTAAGTAATATTGTCATGCCAGGCTCGACAAGCAACGGGTTTTATGGTTATTTCGCATAGAAATCCATTTATTTCTGGCGTATATTTTTAACTTGAACTTTTTGTTGAAAGGAAGTTAAATTAAAGCATACCTGTACCCCGATTAATATAATTGAAAGAGAGTTATATCAAACATGGAATAAAGTAAATAGTTATATGTCCAGTTTACTTTTGTTGAACAGTTGTATATCTAGTCAAAGTTACGCTCTACTTTTTCCTCATAACTTAACTGAATGGCTTACACGGTATGCAGTTCTTTGATTGAAACGCCTACAATATCTTAAACGGAAACCCTCAGTAATTCACTCAGATTAAAATCAATATTGCATTGAACAGTTCCTAACCGTAGTGATAACGACATTACGATTCATCACAACATCGTAGCATTGTTCTCGTTGCCCAAGTTTTAGTTTAAGGAACTTTTACTGTGCACATGCTTTGTTGCGTATCCAAATTTATACGGTGTACTTCGTTTTGGATGAAAAACTTTTTATCCGTTCTTGTCTGGAAGGGAAACTTTAATCAGATTGAAACGTCCGTGTTTGCAGGCGACTAGATAAAAATTTACTTCAGGGAAACTCTCGTGTACCAGCTGTTACAAGTAAATAATAATAGTTCGGGTCTAGAAGAATTGACAGCAGTGAGTCATTAGAATATTCGTAATACAGAAACGTACATCTTTAAGGTAATCAAGAAAAAGAAAACTACGGAAATCGTAAATATAGAGGGATTTTGACCAGATAAAATCCTAACTACATAAAAGGAGGGTTATATTGGTAAATTTCCATCATGGAACCCAAGATGATGAATCATGAGATAAATACGCTCTACTTGGACGCCAGGGTCATTTGAGAATACCGACCTCCTCTCAGTCGCCCAGTGTGTTATGTAAATACAACGATTTAACAGTCCCTCACCAAAGCTGGTTGAAACACGTTAAAGTTCCATGCTTCCCTTCACCGTTTCGCATTTCATGTTAATTTGAATCAATCATTTGAAAGGTGTTTACAAAATTGATACTGGATGATTCATGCTTTTATTATATGGCTGTCTCACAAGGACTGGGAAATACCGAATTCACGAACACGGCAAAAAAACCGTCGTTCACTGTTAATTTTACGAAATGGTGAATGTATGAGAAATTCAACATTAGACTAACGTTTTCCGATATCTGAAAACGTACGGCAAATTCACTGCCCACCCTCAGTAAAACTTCGGAAAAACATGAAGTTCATCTCAAGTTATCCAGCACCAGGAAAACTCCAATCATTAGCCTGTTCTCCTGAACGTTTTTCTACAGTTTTCCCGTGCGCGCGAACGCAGCATTTTCCAAGTGTTTTCCCACAAAATAACCAACGGTGAATGCCATGAAAACAGGATGTTTGTCGTTTGTTTTCCTGTTCGACGAAAACGCTAATGTATAGCTTGTTTTCCTGAACATTTTACTATGGTTTTCCCGTGCGCGCGAACGCA